CTTATGCCAATCTGAGTCTCAGGCATTTAAATGTAACAAATGAAAGGGTTAGAGAATATCATCTCCAAGCCCCTTCAAATGCTGGCATTTCAAATGTTTCTAAAAAGCTTTCTGAGACATGATGAGAACCAGGATAGAGATCTCACTCTGGCTGAAGGATCCAGCCCAGCCTCCTAAGTGGGAGACCTCAGAATCTTTGAAAGATTCCTCTTGACGTATTCTCTTCCCTGGGGCCTACCGTGCTGCCACCATTTAAGTCACACTTGTGGGTAAAAGCTTGGAGAGCTCCAGTGGGGCCGCATGGGAAATTCTTGTTCTCAGAAATTTCTGTGCTTCAAAAAAAAAATGACTAACCAGTCCCTTTCTTCAAGAAAGTCTTCACAGGAGCATAGTTTTAACTGGGGACGAGGAGACATCAGGCCATGAACAGGTCCAGGTGAACCACCAGATTTACCTTAAAATGAAGTTCTAGCCAAATGTTGATGATAGGTAGGTCCCTGTTCCTGCCAGTTTGGGTGAGAATATCAGAGAGGAGGCTAATAGACTTTCAAGTCTCCCTCCACAAGATCGAAGGCTAATCATAGTTAAAAAGGAAGATTTAAGCATAATCATAGTGATGAGAGAGCAGGAAGGAGGGAGGGAGAGGAGAGGAGGGAAGAAATCTGAGACAATGAGACTGCGCTCAAGGCCTGAGCTGGGAGCAAGAGCAACAATCTCCTAAAATCTAGATTCTCCAGGGTAGTTAGCCCGCTCCTAGAAACTGGTCCTTCTCTTCTGTGCCCAGAGCTCCTCCCACAAACAAGCAGTTCAGGCATGGATGCAGAGTCATCAATCTGGATCCATGATAAATCTTGTTGTTGATGATGCTATGTTCGGCAGAGATGGTTACAAGTCATAGCAACAAGTCTAACAAGAGATCAAAATCTTATCCTCTGCAGCACCATCTTCACAATTTTTGTCATCTGAAGCCTGTTGTTACAGCCATCTTGTCAATCCATATCCTTGAGGGGCTTCCTCTCTTGTACTGAACCTCTTTCTTTCAAAGCATGGCGTCTTTCTCCCAGAATACTCCAGTCTGACCACATAGCAAATCTATATGAGACAAAGTTTGAGCACATAAGCCTCTCAGCAGCACTCTGGTTATCCTTCTTCCAAAGACAGATTTGTTTGAGTTTTGGCAGTCCGTGGGATAGTCAATACTCTTCATCAAGATCATAATTCAAAGGCATCAATTCTTCTTCACTCATCCTTATTTATTGTCCTGCCTTCCTATGCATAGAAAGCAATTGAACATATGATGGCTTGCATCAAGCATATCATAGACAGCATAGTCTTTGAACTATTATCCCTGCTTGTTAGAATTTAACAGAGTCTAAAACAACTATGAGGTATCATCTCACCCCAGTCAGAGTAGCAAAACTTAACAGAACAGCAAGCAACAAATGCTGGAGAAGTTGTGGAGAAACTGGAACCCTGATTCACTGTTGGTGGAAGTGTAAAATGGTGCAACCACTGTGGAAGGCAGTGTGGCGCTTTCTCAAAAAGTTTCAAATAAAATAAAAATTTGAGAAAGTTGCAAATAGAGATACCATTTGACCCAGCAATTCCACTACTGGGAATATACGCTAAAGAGACCATAACTGACATCCAAGCAGATATATGCACACCCATGTTTATCAGGGCTTTGTTCACAATAGTAAGGAACTGGAAACAACCTAAGTGCTCATCAACAAATGAATGGATAGAGAATCTGTGGTATATTCATACAATGGAATATTATGCTGCATTGAAAAACAAGGAACTCATGCAATATTATTAAAAATGGGTGACCCTGGAGGACATTATGCTGAGTGAAGTATCTCAGTCACAAAGGGACAAATACTGTATAGTGCCACTGGTGTAAAACAGGACTGACATCAGGGTTGGGGGGAGACTGAGAAAGATGGCTTCAATAATGTACACTGCATTGAAACAAGATGAGGGAGAAAGCTGTTTAAAAGGGATATGTAATTAGGTATTTTTGTCATGACAAGAGTCTAGAGCAAAGGCTACATGGTGGAGTGGACCTGGGGGAGGGTTTGTAAAACAATGAAAGAATTTTTGTTTTACTTTTACAAGAGGGTACTGTACTAGGGGGGAGGCTTGGAAGGTGAGAAAAGTGCAACAATGAATGAGTGGAAATCTAAAGTCTCTAAATTTTTACTGAAATTAATACTAAAAAATAGTTTAACATAGTCCTTGACAGCAGATTTCTCCTATGCAATACATCTTTTTTTAAATGGGATTCTTTTATTTTTCTTTCTGGGTTTGTTTTTTGTTGGTTTTTTAAAATTCATTCATTATTGCACATTTTCTTCCCTTCCCTTCCTGCCCTACCGAGTCTACTTTGCAATGCACCTCTTGTTAAAGATTGTTGTCATACATATAATACCTAATTATATAGTTCTTTTATATTGTTTTCCCCCTCATCTGTTCAATGCAGTGTTCATTATCTATTCGCTCTTTCCTATTCTCTCCCCAATCTTCCATGTCAATCTTATAACAGCTTTGTTACACAGTGTTTGTCCTTTTGTGACTGACATATTTCACTCAACATAATGTCCTCCCCTATGTTGTGTAGTGTTTCACGAGTTTATTTTTCAGTGCTGGGTAATATTCCATTGTGTGAATGCACCAATTTTTTTTCTATCCATTTGTTTGTTGATGAGCACTTGGGTTGCTTCCGTTTCTTTGCTATTGTGAATACAGCAATAACCATGGGCATGCATACATCTGTTTGAGTTGAGACTCTGGTCTCTTTAGGGTATATTCCTCAATAGTGGAATATTATTTGGGTCAAATAATAATATTTCTACTCTTTAAGAAAGCACTAAATGACCTTCCACAGTGGTTGTACCCTTTTACATTCCCATTGCAGTGAGTCAGTGTTCCAATCTCTCCACAATCTTGCCAGCGTTTGTTGTTTGCTGCCTTGTTGAATCTTGCTATTGTCGCTGGGGTAAGATGGTCTCTTTTAGCTGTCTTGATTTGCATATCAGATAGCTAGGAATTTTAAACATGTCTTTATGTGTTTGTTTGCCATCTGAATGTCTTCTTAGGTAAAGTGTCTACCCAAATCCTATCTTGTGCCTAATTTGTGATTGGGTTGTTTACTTTTTTCTTGTGGAGGTGTTAGAATATTCTATAAATTTTAGATATGTCTCTTATCAGAAATGTCATTGCCAAATATTTTTCCCAGTCTGTGGGTTTCCTTTCTACCCTGTTGGAGAAGTCTTTTGATGTGCATAGGGATTTGATTCTTAGAAGGACCCATTCATCTATTTTATTCTCTCCTGGCTATAGGTTTTTCATTATACCATTCAAGCTGTAGGTTAAGACTTCTAGAATTGTTTCTATCTTTTCTCTGGTGAATTTTATAGTCTTTGAGTTTTCTTTTAGGTCCCTGATCCTCCTTGAGCTGTTTTTTGTGTATAGTGTGAGGGATGAGTCTTGCTTAAGTTTTCTGCAAATGGTTTTCCAATTTTCCCAAAATCATTTGTTAAAGAGGCCGTCATTTCCCCACTTAAATTCTTTCATCTCCTTGTCAAAAATCAGTTGACTATAGGTACATGAGGTGACTTCTGAGTTCTCAATTCAATTCCATTGATCTATGTGTCTGTCTCTGCACCAGTACCATGATATCTTGACCATTATGGCAGTGTAATAGGATTTAAGGTCAGGGAGTGTGCTGCCTCCTACCTTGTTTCTTTATTTTCAGCGTAACACAGACTGTTAATGAATCTTCTTCCAATCATATTCCACATTCTTCATCATGTGGTCCAATTTTTATAGTTATACAATATACAGATTGACATTCTTCATCATGTGGTCCAATTTTTATAGTTATACAATATACAGATTGAACAGATTGAATAAATGTGAAGTAGAGGTAAAACCTGATGCAAATCTTTCCTGATTTAAAACCACACAGTTTACAAATATAAGTTCCCTTGCTGTCTTCAAATAACTGCTTCATGGTTTATGTATTGGTTTGAATTAAATGTTCTGGATTCCAATTCTTCTCAAAGTTATCAAAGACTTGCTATGATTCCCACAGTCAAATACCTTCTTTCAGTCAATAAAACACACCTTTAGGCATTCTCTGCTTTCTGTAAAGATCAACCTGGCTTCAGCAATGATATCTCTCATTCCACAGCTTCTTCTGAATCCAGCTTGAATTTGTAGGAGTGCACAGGCAATGGTTCCAGACATTTTAGAACAGTCTTCAGAAACTTTTACTTGGATGTGTTATTAATGACGTTGTTCAGTAATTTCCACCCTATTAAATAATCTTTCCTTGAATAAGAACAAATATGGATCTCTGCCAGTCAATTGGCCAGGTAGCTATCATCCAAAATTCTTGGCATGGGCTAGTGAGTACTTCTGGGGCTGCATCTGTTCTCTGAAATACCTCTGTTGAGATTTTACTATATGAAGAAGAATATGACATTAAGATTGATTGCTCAAAATAGTAGTGCTGCTCTTTTTACAATTCTGTGTCCTATTGATCTCCATCAAATTCATTTTCTTTCTTTAGTCAGTGTCTAAAGTATTTCTTCATCTTGACTTTTTAACTGTGAGTTCCAGAATTCTTATCCATAGCTGATATCCTTGTTTTCTATGTCATTAGTGCAAAAATTTTACACTGCCATCTTTCTGGTTCACCATATTATCAGAAGCCATGGGTAGTGAAACCCTTGCAAGGTGCTACGCCTGGCTGTGACCTTAAGCATGTCACATTCACTTTCTGGATTCAACAATGAACCAAGTCTCATTGTTGGAATGGGAAGACCCATTTCAGCTCTGGTATTTGCTGAGATATCAATGAATATCACTGATCATTCGGATATCTCTGAGTTGAGATATCTCAGTCCTTCTCCCTTGCTTGTGCCCTTATAAAAATGAGTGTCAACCACCTGCCATTCCTCTCTATCCGCAGAGTCCCGTGACCCTGAAGCTCCATGGCCACCTGGGTGCTCCTCCTGGGTGTTCTCCTCCTTCTTCCCCCACCTGTCCCGGCCCCCTGCCACACTGCTACACGCTCTAAGTGCCAAAAGATTCGCCACTTTGTACCTGGTGTGGAGTTGGCTGGAGAAGGTGTGGATGTGACCACCCTTCGGCGTTCGGGCTACTTCCTCGTGGACAGGAAGCATTTCCTGAGGCCTGACGGCACCTGCACCCTCTGCAGTAGCGCCCAGAAGCCAGACACTCTCTGGCTCCTGCCCGTAGCCTTCACTGACTGGCGTGCCCAGGGTGCAGGCTGCCGGCACCAAGTGACGAAGACCAACATCATCTCCACTGAGGACATGGCCAAGGAAGTAGCCAAAAGCATCACCAACGACTGGAAAATTGGACTGGATGTAACTCCCAAGCCAACCATCAATGTGAAGGTGACACTGGCTGGCTCCCATTCAAAGGCAGCCAATTTTGCAGCAGAGAAGACTCACAAAGACCGATATGTCTTCAGCAGGGATCTGGTGGAGTGTCGCTTCTACAGGTGAGCACCTGGCAGAAGGGGTGAGAGGGGACTGAAGACAGGTGTGGAAAGGAGGCAATGGTACATTTGGAATAATGGGGTGGAGAGTGTCCCCAGCTTCCCTTCCATAGGAAGAAACAGGTATTCTAAAACCCACAGCTAAAGTGCTCCATGATCCCATCCCTTCATGAGGGTAGGAATTTGGAAATGACAGTGCCAGGAAGAGAGCAGATGGAGGGGAATGGAGCATGACAGTGTTAAGAGCCAAACACGGTACATGGACGTCTAGCAAATGCATAAATCTTCCACTTTCTTGGAAATTTTGTGACATTCTTGCATGGGTTCCTTCTCCCTGGAGAGCAGGCAGCTGGCCTCAATTGCCAACCCACCCCCACTGTCATGTGACTTTGGGCGTCTCATTCCTCCTCTCTGGGTCTCACTCATCAATTCAACACATATATGTGCCTTGGGCCAACCACTGAGCTGGTGGTTAGGGCTGCAGTGGAAAGTCGCTCTTGTCACTGTTCCGGCTCCCCAAACTAGTCTGAGAAATGCAGGGTGATCCTGGGTAGACCCAAAGTGATCAACTAATTTCTTAGCCTGTGAGGTCATCTCTCCCACCCCTAAGAAGCTGATGCTCCTGCCACATTGCCAACAACAGCCAGGAACTAGGCGGCAGGACACCATGGAGAGGGACAGGTACACAAAATACCTTGACTAGCTCTGAAGCAAGATGAATACCACCAATATTATTATGTTTGCTTTATCTTTTTGTGGTTAAAAAGTGCCATTTTAACATTTATACACACATAATTTAGGACACTAACTGCATTCACCCTGTTGTATGTTACTAGTTCCAAGCTTTTCCATCACCTGTAACAGAAACACAGAACTTCGTAAACAGAGACTTATCTTGTCTTCTCTCAAAGCCCTGGCAACTTCCACTCTACTTTCTGTCTCAATACATTTACCTTTTCTAGACATTTCACTTACGTGGTATCACGTGACATTTGTGCCTTTTGTGACTTGTTTCCCTTAGCTTAGAGTTTGCAAAGGGAGCGATGGTTGTCCAGTAATAAAAGAGTTGTGCTGGCAAATAAAAGGCACATGGATTGAATTTACCCAAAGCTCCTCAACATGATGGGCAGTTTACTCCAGCATGATTTACAACCTCTGGGGGAGAAGACCTTCTTGAGAGTGAGCTATTAGTCCGTCCCAATTCAGATGCACATAACGACAGTGGGATTTGCAAAGCCCGTCCTACTTGAATGTGTATCAGAACATCCTCTTTCACTGTCACATTTTGCTAATCCATTGCTCTGTTGTTGGAGATTGAACTGATTCTACTTTTCTACTATCACTTAGTACTGTAATGATATCTTGTTTTTATAATAACAAAACAAAAAGAAAAGACAAACTTTCTGTTGAAAACGGGAAAAGATAAACATACACAATGTCTGGGTCAACAAAGAGCAAGAAGTGAGGATTCTCTGTCAGCTCAGTGTGTCAAGGTGTGGGTTTTGGAGCCAGACCTCCCAGTTCACAGGCCAGTTCTCCACTCAGCTGTGCCCTTGTGCATTCATGAGGGAATTAATGAGCGCACACAACACCAGTCACCCCGCCTCAGCTGATGTTTCTCCCCCCTCACAGCTTTCGCATGGTGCACACTCCCCCACTGCACCCTGACTTCAAGCGGGCCATCAAGGACTTACCTCCTTATTTCAACACTTCCACTGAGCCCAACTACCTCAGGCTCATCTCCAACTATGGCACCCACTTCACCCGGGCTGTGAATCTCGGGGGCCAGGTCTCAGCCATCACGGCTCTGCGTACCTGCAAGCTGGCCCTGAAAGGGCTCACTACCAATGAAGTGAGTGACTGCCTGGAGGTCGAGGCAGCCCTGAGCATAGGTGGCATAAACAGAAATTCTGCATCAGCCAAGGTCTGTGATAAAATGAAAGAGAAGCATGATATGAACTCCTCTTTCCACCAAATCTACAGTGAGCGCTATTCTGAAGTATTTGGGGGTCATCATACCTCTATATCTGACCTGTTGTTTGGGGCAAACACTGGGCCTGAGCAGTTTTCTACCTGGATAGCTTCACTACAGGACAGTCCTGGCCTGGTAGACTACAGCCTGGAGCCTCTCCACGTGCTTTTGGAGAGTAAAGACCCCCGTAGGGAAGCCTTGAGACAGGCCGTGAGCAAGTATCTTAACAACAGGGCAAGATGGAAGGACTGCAACCGACCCTGCCCCCAGGGACAATGGAAGAACCCCCATGACCCATGTCAGTGTGTGTGCCCAGGCTCAGGGAGCACCAACCAGGACTGCTGTCCCCGGGAGAGGGGCCTGGCCCAGCTGAAGGTGATGAACTTCCAGGCAACAGGCTTGTGGGGAGACATTATCACTGCCACAGATGCCTACCTCAAGGTCTTCTTTGGTAGAAAGGAGCAGAGAACAAACACCATCTGGAATGATGATAACCCTGCATGGATGATAGAGCTGGATTTTGGGGATGTGTGCCTCTCCACCACAGAGTACCTGAAGGTAGAGGTTTGGGATGAGAATACTATCTTGAAGGATAAACAACTTGGCACCTGTGACCTGTCTCCACACTCGGGCACACACCAAGTGAACTGCAAGCTGTCCCACGGTCAGCTGAGATTCCAATATCATGCCAAGTGTTTGCCCCACTTGATGGGGGATACCTGCCAGGAGTACGCCTCTCAAGGGCTTCTGGGGGAGCCACCAGGAAACCGAAGTGGGGCAGTGTGGTGAGGACGGCAGGCCTCTAATGGTCTGTATGTCCAATTGAAGGAGTTCTCACAGAGAGAACAAAAAAAATGAGGCTCCGTAGTTTCTTGCTTTCTTTCTTTAAATTGAAGTGGCTGAATTGACAGGTCAACACTGAGTCTCTTTGTCCAAACTATCTTACCTCTCTGCTATCCTTGAGCCTTGGAAATGAGCTTCAACTGGCTCATGAACTGAAATCCCTTTCCATAGCACACACCTTGGGCCCAGAGCTGGAAAGAAGCTAGGAACCCGTTACCACCAAACTGTTCCATGTCTGCGTTTTAAGGCCTTTCCCTTGCATCATTTTAAGTATGATCACTTTTTAATTGTATTTGCTTTAACCACTTCTATCCTAACTTCTGTATTTTCTGTCTTCTAAGCACAATGAGCAGATATATTAGGGTCAATCGCAACATAGTTCACTATGTACACAGACCTAGTGAGTGCTAATAAATATTATGTAATGGTGATCATGATGGTGGTGGTTGTGGCAGAAACAAGAACAGGGACCAAACACAGCTCTTGAGATAGACAAGAAGGTTAGCATACAACATGATGGGGAAGGTGTATTACTCCCCGGGCAGATAAGTACTGTAAGTAAGTTATCTACCTATTTTTACTGGGAACATGGAAATACAAAATCATTTCCTTTCATTATAATACTTAAACAACTATTGGCATAAACTCGTGCTAAATGGCAATAGAGAGGATATCCAATGGGAAAACAAGCTAGTCAGATTGGCAAACCCACCTCTCTTCTGTAGGATCTTGAAATTACAGGGAATTTCAACCATGGACAATAATTAACTAGCCAGGTAGAATGTGTGACTTATTACCAGCCTGGGTAGAATTCGAGTTCCACAAAAGAAAAGAAGTGTCCAGATCTATCCAGCATGGAGTATCCAGCATGGAGAAAACAGGGCCTTATCTCCTCACTGCTAACAGATGACAAACCAAGAAAACTTCCATCTGAACAGGTAGGACATAGGTGGTCAAAGAGAGCAACGCAACTAACCTTCATCCCTGATGGCAAGCAAGAAGTCATCATCCTCTTGAGCCCGGAAAGATGTTCCTGCACTTAATAAAACCATTTCCATTTTGGCAGGGGATAAGGGGTATGGGTATGTATATTCCCATAGAAAGAGCAGTGCTCTATGCTAAAACTACACACATTGACATTAATAGGGTCTGGTTCATTTTTTCAGAGGGCCCTCAATCTGAGAGTCTGTGGGAAGAGCAGCAGATGATGCTGACTGAATGACAAAACAGGGAATCATATGGGGAAAGCCCAGGCCGCATTCACCACCAGTAGTAGGTTCTTGCCTTGCTGTACTGCAATACAGCTGACTACACTGATGTTAAGCCATCAGCCTTAAACTCCTGCTTTTTGCCACAGATGAAAAAGAAAAAAAACTAAAGTAATAGTATCACAGCGTTTCAATGAATAACAGTGAGTCCAAATGACAGAGAGTCTCTGAGTCTAAGACAGTCAAGGAATCAGAAATTTAAGGCAGAGATTAAAAAATCTTATTTAGCAAGGGATAACAGGAAAAGGTAAAAATCCCATAACCTCACATGTAGGGCAGCTCCACACATCATCCTTATTGTAGCCCCCATGGTATGTCAAACTAGAGAAAGCACATATTCTATTAAAGCAAAGTTCAACTTATACTTCAGTTGATCAGTCTTCGATCACAACAATCACCAACAACCACCCAAGCAACAGCGCTGTGTCTGCACAATGTCCCTCAAGCCCCACAAAATAGTCGCAAAAAACATGAGAGCAGAACACAGAGTCAATGAATATTCTAAGGGTAGGAAGACTGATAGAATACTTTGAGGAGGAATTTAGAACAACAATGTTGATGAAATTGTAAAGAAGTCAGAATAGTAGGAGTCAAGTAGTCAGTATTGAGAGATGCCTTGTTGGGAAGTCATTGCTTCTCTGAGCCTTTGTCTGCTCAGATAGAAATAGCTGCCCTAACAATGAGCCACTACTAGAGAGGAGACACATGTATAGTTGGACACGAGCAACAAGCCAGAACAGGGAGCTGAATTGTTGAGAAGTTGTTACTTCCCTGAGCCTTTGTCTGTTCAAGCAGGAACATTTCTCCCCCAACCAATCCCAGGAGAGGAAACAGGTATATGACCATTAACAACTGCTGAGATATGGGGCTGCACTATTGGGAATTTGTCCTTTTCCTGGACTTTCCCCCTGAGCAATACATCCTAGGAAGCACTCCAGAACTTTGCCTACATTTGGAAGAAACAACCTCACTTCTCAATCAAGCTACAAGACAGGACAGAAAAGCTGGCCCACCACAACTGGGCAAAGAAAAAAATCCCAACTTCCTTGGCATCAAAGGACAAGATAAGAAGCTTGACTTGAGAAATTTTTCTCTATTAACATGGAAAATATATGCCCATGGAAGACTAACAGGAAAGATTACCACTGGGGAAACTCAGTCAAAGGAAATTTATTAATAGCATCATAAAGATAAAGAACTGTCAACAATATATGCAGACACAACAGAAACCACCTTTCACAGACCAGGATAGCAAGAGACAGTTTCAAACATTATGGAAAAAACAAAGCAAGCCTTCTCCTGCAGATCACATTGCAGACCCGATGAATGCACCCCCAAAATAGGGAGGCAGAAAAAAAATATATCATCATGAAGTGACATAAACAGCTATGAAAGAAATCACAAATTATGGAAGAAAAAAAATCAAATCATAAACAAAGAGGTAAGAGAACTTCAAAAATCATCACAAGTCAGAGAGGATACAACCCACACTGTACTGGAAAGAAAAGAAATATCTGAAAATGCAATCCAGAATATAAAGACTAAAATGACAGAATTTTCAAATATGCTCAAAGGACCAAAGAAAAAGTAGAATAGGAGAGATGGAGCAGAGAATCAATGAGCTAGAATACAAGAACCTCAACAGAAAAATGAGGGGGAAAATAGGAGATAAGTTTGAAGAAAACATTAGCAGTATGTAAGATAATATAAAACACAATAACATATGTGTGATCTAAATTCTAAAACAGAAAGGAGTGAACAAAAAGTACTGAGTAAATTTTGGAAGAGATACTACAAGAAAATTTCCCAGATATCATGAAAAACAAGAAAATCTATATTCAAGAAGTTCAGCTAACTCCAAACAGACTAGATGCCAAAAGAAAAAAACATCAAGACATATCATAGTCAAATTCTCCAAAATCAAAGATAGGGATTGAGTATCTACTAAAAATATCTATTAAAAGCAGGAGGGGGGGTAACAGAGTCGTATACTAAAGAGAATCAATTATATTAAGCTTTGATTTCTCAACAGAAACCATGTCAATAACAAGACAATAGAATGCTATAACCAGAAGGCTGAAAGAAAACAGTTGCCAGCCAAACTATATCCAGCAAAGCTGTTCATCAAATATGAAGGAGAAATTAAGTCATTTAAAGAAAAGCAGGGACTTAAGGAATTAGTGAAAACATGACCAACTCCATAAGAAATACTAAAGGAAGTTATTCACATAGTTGTTGTTGGTGGTGTTATTTGCCACTGAGTCGCTTGTGATTTATAGCAGCCCTATGTACAACATCCCTAAACTCTGCTCTGTCCTGTGCCAGTCGTACCATCTCTGACACACCCATCCCAATTACCCCAGTCACTGAATCAATCCACCTCATAGGGGGCCTTTCCCTTCTGCGCTGCCCCTTCACCCTACCAAGCATGATGTCCCTCTCCAAGGACCTGTCCCTTCTTGCAACATGTCCAAAGTATGTTAGATGGAGCCTTAGAATCCTTGCCTCCAAGGAGCAGCCCGGTTTGAGCCTTTCCAGGATGAATCTGTTTGTTTTCCTAGCGGTCCATGGTACCCTCAATACTCTTCTCCAGCACCACAGCTCAAAGGCATCAATTCTCCTTCTATCCTCCTTAGTCATTGCCCAACTCTCTGATGCATAACAAGTGATAGCAAAGACCATGGCCTGTATCAGACGCACCTTAGTCTCCAAAGAGACACCATCGCTCTTCAGTACTTTGGAGAGGTCCCTAACAGCAGACTTTCCCATGGCAATACATCTTCTAATTTCCTGGCTACTGGTGCCGAGAGTGTTGACTGTGGAGCCAAGCAAACTAAAGCTATGAACAATCTCAATCTCTTCACCATCCATCCTGAGAGACAATAAAATAAAGTTAATAGACTATAGTAATAAGAAACAACAGAAAAAGGAAGATGGCAAAATGGCTATGATAAAACTGGGCCTGTCAACAACCATAATTAATGTAAATGGCTTAGACACACTAAGTAAGACAAAAAAGAGTATCAGAATGCATAAAAAGAAAAAAAGTCCAGCAATATGTTGCCTACAAAAGACATCCTAAGAAAGGAGAGGAAAGACTAAAACTCAAAGGCTGGAAAAAATATACCAGACAAATGATATCCACAGAAAAATAGGAGTGGCAAAAGTAATCTCTACTACAATAGACTTCAGGATGAAAACCACAATAAGAGATAAAGAAGGGCATTATACTATTAAAGCCACAATAGATCAAGAAGACATAACCTTGGTCAACATCTGCATATCAAATGATAGACCTCTAAAATAAATAAAACAATGGTTAGCAGAACTGAGGAAACAGCACCATAAAAGTAGTAGGAGACTTCAGCACAATCCTTTTGTTTAAAGACAAATATAGCCTGAAAATAGCAACCAAGCGAAGATAAAATTGACTAAAGAGACCTTCTAAAAATTAAGTCCCTGTTTGCCTCAAAAACTTTTTCCAATAGGGTTAAAGTCTACTGACTGGGAAGAAAACATTTAGCAATGATATCTAAAATAAGGCTCTCATAACAAAGTTTAAAGAATACTACAGGGCCTCCAAAATTAAAAAGATTGATAATCACATAACAAAATGTACAAGAGACGTGAAAATACTCTTCACAAAGGAAGGCATTCAGATAGCCAACAGACACATGA